TCAATGATCATTTGATTCTTCTGACACATGGCATGTCTGATTCAATGGTATTGGCTCCTCTGTTTTTAACTAATATTCTGCTTTCCAGAATACCAGAATGATTATATTTAGACATCTTTTAAAAGCTGTAGTGACAGCAATTTCAATCAAAAAAAACCAGAAAAAAAAAAATTAAGACTTTCTTTGCAATGCATAGCAGCAACTGAAACAAGCCAGAAATAAGAAAGGGAAAATCAGTATTGGAATACTTTAGTTTCATTCATACTGAAGTTTGTTATGTTGCAGAAAAATTATACGGGTCCTATGTATATAAGTTAATACTGCAGTAGATCACCATTGCCATCTCCTGGTAAATAAACCATATAACTCTATTCTGATGCTTTTTCTAAACAGTCATATATTGTACAACTGTAGAGAGATTAGACCATAAAGAGGCAATAAAGGATTTAGGGTATTTATTGTGAGACTCTCATTGCATTTGTATTCTTTGCTCACATAAGACCTTTATAAAGAACTGCATTACAGTTGATAAATAGTGGCATTTGTTCTAATGCAGTCTTTACAGTGCAAAGAAATACTGCCGGTTATGACTCTGTAAATTAAGGTGAGATGATGGATATTGCTGTGATTGAAACAAACACCGGGTCTGTTTAAGAAAAACCTACCATAACCAAAACAAATATATACACAGAGAGAAGGTATTAGTTTCCAATGTATTGTAATGAGAGAGACAAATACGGAATTGTGCTACTGTAGTCAGCCAAGACAATGTCAAACAGTGTTAAGCGACACTATGAAGCCAACAGCAGGGCTAACAGCACTGACAACAATAACCTGTCATTTCACTTTTTGGTAATTTTAATCCTTTTATTTTCTTGCCATTTTCATTACTCTTTCCACTGTCATTTTCCGTTCCACTTCTTTCTCTCTCATCTATGCTCCCTTTTGTCTTTCTGCAGCTACCTGAAATGTCCTGTTAATATTAGATTTCCTCTCCTGCTTGGAGGGTCAAAGAGCGGGCCGATTCCAAAGCCGGTACGTACAATTCTTGCTCCAACAAAACTCTCTGTGTGTCATGCCAAAGACTGCAAATACTCACCTTGTCATAAAAATCTCTCATAGTCATGTGAGGAAGGAGAATGAGATGTGTCTACAACTCATTACCCTTCAGACCAGACTGCAGCATTCAGCATGATGCTGAGCCTTGATAAATCATCCTTTCAATCAAATCAGTAAGCAGAAAGAATTGCTACCTAACCGGCAATAAATTTCAGACAAGCCTGGCAAGGAGTGACGTATTAGTTGAATGCTTGCACCTTGCTTTGTTTGTGTATTGCTTCTGCAATGCTTCACTCTGCAGCAGAGAAAGTGAGTCCTATCACTTGCAGCTGCTCATCTACTGCCAGTACTGCCAATTAATATGACAGGGAACAACCCCTTTAACAACATTTTGCTTTTTCTCATAGAAGCAGAAGAAATGTTGGCAACATTCTGGAAGTAACTAGAGCTGAAGGATTTCAGACAACACTGAATTTTTTGAAACTAGACCTGCATCATGAAGAACATCTATTTAAAAGCGGCCTTCATGATGGTGACAATTCAGTTTGTTGCTTTTGTTTCACTAGCCACATATATAGACTGCAGCAGACACGTTCAACCATGAACACTGAAGAAGATGATGATAAATGTGGACAAGTGTAATGAAATTTCAGAGTTGCCATAGTATCAGAAACAAATTAACTGGGACTCAGAAACAACTGTAAAGTTATAGTGTGTAGATACCTGGAAGAAAAGGAGAAGTTTGCAATGAAAGCTAGAACAGGGTCTTGAAGGACTTACTTAAGAGAATTCTTTTTTTTTATCATCAACTTAGTACCTCCCAAGGGGTCTCGGAGTTTGGTTTTGGACTCAAAATGGCATTTGGAAACCAGTCTTTGTCAGGTTACACTTAATGATCACAATAGCTGTTAAGGCCAAATGGGACTAAAAAACACAGGCTTAATTATTAGACTATCCCAGGGGATCTAGAATCAATGCACAATGCTAATGGTATCTCCAGTCTTTGTTATTATATTATGCCTGGAAACTTTTCCCTGAAGCAACGCTGTATTTATTTATTTAGTTATTTTTATTTGCTTTAGCTGTTCCCTGCTGTTTAAAAAAATAAACACTTCCTATTGAAGAGAAATTCCAAGGGTAAGAGAGGAGTAGAACTAATAGCTGCCTTTAGAAATGGCAATGAAAAATATAAACTCCTATATTAATGACAAGGAGAAGAGAGGCACAAACTAAAAACTGAGATATAATATCCTTGATACAAACAGTGGCAGCCAAGTCTGGAATCGAAAAGAAATCAAGGATCTACTCATTCTAATGGGTTTACAAGAGCATGTGTGTGTCAAGAAAACCTTGGTTTAAGGACATACTAGAATCAAAACAGGGAATGCAACTTCCACTGCTCTGTCTGTGATAAGGCATCAGGTTTCCATGAGCAGCATGACAGACTGAATGTGTTTTTGTTGCCTCTCATGTCCATGCAGGATAGAAAGATGAAAGTAAGAGTGCAGTGTACGTCTGATCCTGTATTATTTGACAGTCAAGGTTGCTCTAAAACATCTAACAGATTTTGAATGTCCTACTGTCTTTGATCTGTAGCAAGTACAATACTAAAACATATCAGTGGGGAGATAATAACTAATGAACGAATAAACCATTTCAGGCAGTGAAATGCAAGATGAATTAAGGAAACAATAGTTGCAAACACTGGTTTGTGTAGCTACAGTGCAACAGGCATGTGGCCTTGCAAGGTAAGAGGCTGGATCCTGCTGCATTTGTTCTGTCTATAGAACCATTCACTCCTAAACCAACTGCTTTCTAAGAGAAATCCTCTCATAATATCAAACCAGACAACAATGCTATACCTTGTGGACAGTGCTGTCATGGGGTAGCAAACAACAAATTAAAGCCTCCATGTCACTGAGCATCAAACACATGCAGGAGAGCGGTAACGAGTATTGTGGCTAACTGCTGCTGGTGCTGGTTCACACACTTACTGATCCTTGCTTAGCTGACAACACCAGAGCTGGTGAATAATGCTTGTTCACTCTCTTCCGTTATCTGCACATGTTGGAGCCAGTGCAAGAGGATCAACTTAAGGCAGATTGGAGTTTGCTTTCATTTGTACTTCTCCAGTGTTAAATTTCCTATTAAGGAGCAAATACATTTTGGCTATTCTCTTACATTTGCATTGGCTGTTTCCTTGCAGGAAACAGTTTGGCTTAGCACGGTACAGTCATTAGCAGCAACCTGACTGTCAGCAGTTCCTACAGATCATCCAACTACAAAACTGAAAGGATGGGGACTCTGAGAGGCATTTAGTCCATAGTGGCATGAGAAGAAACGTGGATAGCCTGAGATCTTTAGAGAAAATACATAAACATATACATACATACAGATATATATACATACAAACACAGAGCAACCTCAGCCTACACTGATAACCACATTCTATTCCCAAAGCTATCCATGCATCAAGAAGGGAGAGAAACTCTCTGATCTTTTTTTAATGGTTTTAAGCTCTAAAAATCAGGAGGTGGAAAATAACCGTAAGCAAGTTCTTTGCACAATATAAGCAAGGGCTGCAAGACTGGCCTCCCCCTTTCCTTTGAGACTGCGTTTTTAGTAATTGCACTTAAAATATATTCCTTAAGGAAAAGGAGTTGCTGGTAAGGGGGGAACAGGGATGCGATAATATTTCAAAGACTTAATGAAACACAGACCATTTCTGACTGTTCATCTTATCCTCCTGTTCCACGTTTTTGAGGAACAGGAGTTTACTATTATGCACTGCATTTTTCCATTAACATGCGTGGATGGGAAGACAAAGATTCAAGGCTTTGCATTCCAAAAGAAGGACATTTTAATTCAGTCTTTGGGACAGATAAGTCAGAGATGCATCTGAGAAACACAGAAAAACATGTCTTCATAGAATTGACTGTACTATCAAACAAGACCTATATAGCAGGATTATACTCTATGGCTTACAAGAGTATTGATCTGTGTGCAGTCCTCAGTGGTGTTACATTTATTTTAACATTGATCTCCGTTTCGTTAGGCCTCTGTATCATGCACTCTCAGTGTCATCTCAGAGTCCCTCTGAAAACTCGAGTGTCTTCTGTTGCTGTCAAGATGTACAGATGCATTGTGTTTCTTGCAATTCAAAACGTCAGTTTCGAAGCCTATTTATTCACTCATGCACCCCCTTTTAAAATAATACTAAGGACCCATCTAGCCTTGACCCTCCAAAGTTAGGTAATTTCAGAGTGAAGACTCCATTGACAATTGATTTTTCTTAGTGGATTGTTTTTTTCCTCTATGCATTGTTTGCGTTACCTTTCAAAGAAGCTTGAAAATACCATTTCTTCCCCTAACGGCTTCTTTCTATTCCATTTGGAAAACATTGATTTTGCTTTCCCCTGTGATTCTTATGCAGTGCAAGTAAACATGGCTCTGTTTAATATATGTCCAAGTCTGTGCAACGCCATCAAATTCACTACAGCTCTGGGAGACGAACCAGTCCTTTTGCTAGCTCCAGTATTGCTACAACACAATGCAAAACATCACAGCTCCTGAATGTCCAGAGAGGCTACTGGTTTTGTTGATTTGATCATGCATGCCTTATTCTCCAAGCACATGACCAGACACAAGGGTCTCATGAATTCTGATGCCAGCTTTAATAACATGCTGTTGTTCAGCGGCAGTGCAGTTACAGAGACATAAGACTACATGGAGCAAGAGCTAATTGCAGGAAATACTGTGCAAATATAGAGGCGAAAAGATAGCCGTTATACCTAATAGGCTAACAAAATAATATGCATCATCTTGGATTCCTCATCGAAATCTCTGTTCCATGTTTTTCTTATCACTATATCAGTATGAGTTAGAGATGAGTTTGTTATCTTCAAGCTTGTATAGACGAGAAAAAAGTCTTAAAAACCTACCACAGCTTCCTGCAGGAATTCTCTCCTTTCACGCTGAGTGCATCTTCAAGATCCTGTGCAGACTTGCTGGTTCCCATCGTGTCCCACAATTCTGGGCAAAAAAAAAAAATCTGATCTTATGCCAGCTTGGGGAGCTAGCACAGGACATCTCAATGTTCATACTTTGGCCATTCCCTGTGACTTCACTGTGTGAGGTACTCCTATGTCCTATCCTTCATGTCTTTGAAATAGGAGTAATATTTACCCATTCCAGCGGAGAAAAAAGCTTAGTTTTACTCTATTACTTAGTTATCATTTAGCTTTACTACATTTTAAAATATATGTTTTAACACACAGGAACAAACTGGATTAAATGCCTGTTTCTTTAGCCACCTTCTTCTGTTTCCCAAGTTTTTTTTCTCTATATATTCCCTCCTCCTGCCTGTATGCAGTGGCTCTTGTTTTTTCTTGTCATTATTTCCACTGTCAACCTTTATCCGTATAGCCATTTTTTTACCTTAAAAATAGGAATTCCATATTTTATTGCTGCCAATCCAAACCTCAGCACTTCAGCTACTGCAAAATGCACTGTGGACCCAGATCCAATGTTTAAAGATGGGAGTCTTTCCAATGACATCCTTAGGCGCTGGCACTAGATCAGACACTATATGCAAGGGTATATTTCTCATATCCTTAGGTTAACTTCTGAAAGAAAAGGCTCTATCCAGCTGGAGAGTTACTTACGAAGCTAATATTTTATGCATGGAGCACCAGAGTGTCGCAAGATGATTTTAAGTATCACAGCCGACACAGTCATTACATATAATGAGTTAGTTCTTTTAAAATGTTACCTCACTTACCACTGAAGCAACTAGCCAGGAAAAGAACAAAAAAACACTGTTTATGCACTGCAGTACCTCCACACAGTACTGCTCACATCTCAAATTCCTTTCCTTACAAAGATTAAATTTAAACAACCCAGAGTGCTTTTACTTGCTTTCACTGCCCTTTTTTAATTGCATGCAATTGGAGTTGACAGACTAACAGGCAGGCAGACATCTCTTTCACAGAAATTGCTTATGAAAGATTCAGTAGCTGTGTAACTGTAAACAGGTGATTTATAAAAGGGGTTCCTTCTTTAAGAAGTACAGGCATGTAACACTGTTCTTAAGCTACAGTATCAACAACAAAATAACATTTCAGCTTCAGTTATTGCTATAGTGGACATCAGCTGACCACAGAGACACATGGTCCTGAGCAAAATAAAACATGTCGGCTGGTTACAAAATCACTACTTGTTAATACATGTTCAAAGGATACATTCAATATTTCCTTATTTATTTTGGAAATACGTGCAAGAACATCTTCTGTATTTGTTCTCCCACATGTGGATTTGGGTCTTGCCCTAGCTAGCATGTTCAGCATTCAGCTACTGGAGCTGTGAATGCCAGCCTTGTGCCAAGAAACTTGTTCCTCTCTCCTGGACAGCAGAGCATCCTTTTCTCTATGTTGGGTCATAATAATGGTGCAATGGAGGAGGAGGAGCAGAAAGGGGATCTCTTTTCACAAATGATTCAGTTACAGTCGTTCTGCTCTTCCCCCTTATTACACTGACTGGCTGACAATCAAGAAAGGTACAATTATTTAAAGTGAGGAACCCGCACTATTAACAGAAATTGTATTTTACCACAGAGATTAAACATGGAATTTCAAGGCCTCATTCATCAATGTTTTGCTTACACGTTAGCGGTAATCTCTGAAAATCAGTAGAGTTATACTACCGGGAAAAGACAGTGATTAATGAGATCCTTCCTCTGAAGGATATATTTCAGGCAAAAGAAATAAAAGTAGAATGGACAAGTGGCAAGAGGCAATGAGACAGTCTCTTAATTGAAGTTGTCTTGGACTAATTCAGATGGGGTATAGGCCTTCTCAAGTTGACAAAAATGTTCTGGGCTTTTACAGTCTTTTATTATGTGCATACAAAGGAGAAATGGCCAGTTTACATGGCTGCCGTAACAATAGAAAGCATTATTTAGAACACATTTCTAATGCTGGTGGGAGTTGCATAGGCAAGGCTCTAAGTAACAGCATATTCTGCAAACCGGTCCTTCCATTCCCACCACATGCAAAGAGTTTTAGGAAGTTGTGCTGAAGAAATGTAATTGCATCTCTTTTCTCAGCCTAGAGCTTGCCTTTGTCTATATCTCAACGTTTCAACATTCCTTTCTATTTGCACTCATCCTTCATTTTACTGTTCCGTTGTCATCTAGCTTATTCCCTAATTCCACTATTATCTTCCAATCTCAGCATTTAACAGCTCAGAGTGCTGTCTGAAGAACTGGGGTTTTTTTGTTCCATGATGTTTGGGCATAGGAGAAACTTACAAACATGTTCTGCCTTTCAATCTAATGTTTAACCACAGATATGAAGATAAGGTATGAAGGTACAATGAAAGCATGAAGATAAGATGAAGGTATGTATGCCCACAGAGAGTTCCCATAAAATTGCATGTGAAGTACTATCAGTACTTCAAATCAGCAAGAAATCTTTACCAAAAGGGTTGCTAGGCTTCAATACAGTAATCTTTGTTTTTACTTTCACAGCCCCCAGAGCTTTGATATCAAAAAAGACTTTCAAAAAGTAACTCAATTAGCAGTTATCACAATAACAATTTTCAGTCAAGAATGACTAATTGTAGAGGATTGCCTTGATGGACATAGTGCACATTCAGAGTCAACGGATAGTGCGATTAAATCTAAACCCTGTGGAACTTTGGAATATGTGACACTCAAATACTATAACGGGTAGTCAAATATTTACTACTTTTCTAGCCTTCCACTCCAGCATTCACTCAAATACACTCCCGACAAAAAGAAGGCACACCCAGATGGAAGGAGGAGAGAAATGGAAGGGGAACTGCAGAGGGAGAGGCAGAATAAGCAGTGAAGTGTTCAGCGTTTTCTAAGCGTCCTGCCAAGAAGGGAGCATTACTAACAGCTGGCCCAACCTCCACCATTTGGCTGACTATTAAGTTTAGCTAGATACCGCTATTCTAAGTCCAACAAATTTAGTTAGATGGAAGCATTTCAACTGCAGGAGATTATACTATGTCCATTAAGTATGAAAAGGTTCTGCAGTAGATGGAAACTAGTTAAATGAAACACACTTAGATGATCCTAAGAGGAAAATAGAAGGAACAGGCTGTAGAGAAATGTGGACTATTCCCAAGGCTTCTGGCACCTGAAGCAAAGGGAAAGCTCCTGCCCTTTCCCATGAAAACAGCAGTCTTTAGTCTCCCCTTACTTGGGGCTGGGTGTAAACCAGAAGCAATTCAAGTCAGATTACTGGAATTTCAAAGGCATAGGATGGATTTATTGGAAGGGAGTCCAATGTTAAGCATACCCCAGTCCCTCGGTTTATCGCCCCTCCTAGCCCTCTTGAAGTGCTGCAGCACTGGCCAAAACGAGAACGAGTGCTAAGGCAGCTCCTTTGGGAGTCTGCATGCTGCACGCCCACGCACGCTGTGTTCAAGACACCAGGTGCTGAGAACATCTTTTCCTTCCAGTGCTGCAGGAAGCAGAGCTGCTGTTGGGAAGGAATTAAAACCAAAGCAAAGAATGTCATTAGAGCAGTGCTCACCACCGCTGCTGTTCTTAGTGTGGTGCTGGTATTTTCGTTATAATCTCATATTTCCCAGGTTTTATAACTCAATTGCATAAATTTGCTGAGGGCTAAATATTGGCAAGTGGCTATGCTTGCCAAAAATGAAGGCTTTCCACAGTGCAGGGGGATGGAGTCTCAGTCTCTCCTCATTTCAGTGAGAAAGTGATTCTAATATGAGTGGAGCTATACCAACAAGCAGCCTCTGCCAGAAATTTTGCATAATATGCCAGAAGATCCATGGCCACATCCTAATGCCGTAGGTACACTCCGTAGCTCCTCAGTCCAGGAGCAGTTCACTGAAATCCATGAGACAAAATCAAAATTTTTCCCCAGACGTCAGATATGTTTTTTGGTTTTGGACTTAGAAAATCTATTCTGAGCCACAAAATCTTACAACCCACCGATGCTACTCAGCATAGTACTCCACATTTCTAATGTAGCTGTTTTATGCTGATATATGAGTGGATATTAATATTCAGCTCTGACATTCCTTAACAACTCTTTATAAGAGCTGGAGCCCAAGAGGTGCGACCAGGTAAGCTGACAAAGGCTCTGCCTCAAAGCTTTTCTATTCCAGTTCTCTGCAATGCAGTCTAACAGAATGGATCACAGTGTGGATGTAGGATTTAAAATAGTGCATGCCAACTGAAAGATGAAAAATGTGAATCATTATTAAAGTGATGTATGCTCTAATATGAATACATGCAGTTTCAGTAAAAAGTTAGAGATAAACAGAATCACCTCCACTTTTTTCACAGAAAGCTACCTATACAAATCAATTTGGAACCGTAACCATAACTATTTTTTTTAAAGAATCCAACATTGTGACCTTATTGTGACCTTATCATTTTGCTGTGATAACAAATGAAAAATAGAATAAATAACAGAAAGACAGAACTAACCTTCATCTCCCACCCATTCCCTCTCTTCTCTTACAGTTCATTGGTCTCATCTGCATGAATGGATCTCAAAGTTAACAGTTTTAATGTAGAATTATGCTATTTTAAATGCTCTATTTTACACTCTGCTTTTTAATACAAAATTAGAATTTCTTGAAAAAGACAACAAGCTTTTACTAAGAAGAATATAATTTTGTAAAAAAATGCGGGCTACAATTTCATTCCAGTTTCTGCCTCTTTAAAGATCTAAGTGGCATATACATGTCTTTGTTGTGTGATGCAGTGGTTACCATGGAAATTTATTTTTTTTTTTAGTTTAGTGAAGATGATGCAGTCAAAAACATAAATAGCCTGAGCCCCTGGCAGGGTAAATTGTACAGTGGCATCCTAGAATAAATTTACATGACTTTTTTTTTCTGTAAGCAGATATTAGACACTAATAATTTTTTGTGAACAAAAATACTTCACTTTCCTTAAGATGGCAATTATAATTTCTAACTGCAATTGCTCCTGGATGATGTTAAATTAGACAGCCCTTCATGTTCTCATAAGCTGTGGTTTCTGAGAGACAGTGATCCAAGTTGGAGTGTGGGGGAGAATTTCCTGTGTTGACTAT